CCTAAACATATGTAATGAAGGTGCCAGGTGAGCCTACATGGAGAAAGCATTCTACAAGAAGAAGAAGAAGAGTTTGGATTTGATATCCCGCCTTTCACTCCCCTTCAGGAGTCTCAAAGCGGCTAACAATCTCCTTTCCCTTCCTCCCCCACAACAAACACCCTGTGAGGTGAGTGGGGCTGAGAGACTTCAAAGAAGTGTGACTGGCCCAAGGTCAGCAGCTGCATGTGGAGGAGTGGAGACGCGAACCCGGTTCCCCAGATTACGTGATTACCGCTCTTAACCACTACACCACACTGGTGTACATCACAGAGCAGGCCCATTCTCATGTTGCCCACCCTCTAGACCTTTCATGGAGGAGGCACACAAAGAAGGGCCTCAGATCATGATCACAGGGTCCAGGTTGGTTCATATGGGGAAATATGGTAAAGAATATTTGTTTGGTTGTATTGATAGCCTGAAGACAGGAGTGCCTGGCGTACTCTGGTTCATGGGGTCACGAGTCGGACACGACTATACGACTAAACAACAACAATTGATAACCTGTTACTTTCACCATTATCTGCCTTATAAAACATTTTAAAAACTTAATGCTGAAAGACCATTTTTGGTTTATACATAGTATGTGTACACACTATGCATTTAGAGCACATTTAAAGCACAAACCCCAAATAATCCTGGGAGCTGTAGTTTGTTAATGATGCTGGGAATTGTAGCGCTGTGAGCTATAAACAAGAGTTCTCAGAATTCTTTGGCAGGTGCGGAAAAATGTGTTTTAGATGTATGGTGTACACAACTAAAGAATGCCAAACCCCTATGAATACAGGACACAATTATGTTTAGGTTCTTTTTGAACTGGCTGCCCACTAAAGAAGAGGGTTCTTTTTTTTACCACATAGCACCATTTTATTGCATTGTGGTTGAAGTAGTTTCCCCGTTCTTCTGTTGGTTGTGGTTTAACTGTCTTAGCTTTCTCAGTCATAAGTCAAAGTCTTATAGTCTGAAACTTAAAAGAGTTTCAAAAGCAGTTTATGGTTTAGCCTGAGGTTCTGGGGCTCAAAGGAGGAAAATGTCAAAAAAATCTTCATTGTTTGGATCCCAGACATAACATAACGTTTCACAGGTGAGGTGGATTGGATGGGAGGGATGAACAGAAAGCAGCAGGACACCCCCCCACCCCATCCCCAATTCCCTCCTGATTTATTGGACTCCCCCCCCCTTCCCATATTCCCTATTGTTCTTTGCCTGCTTCCCAAGTTCCTGGACTGAAGTTGGGAATTGGGAGGGGGGGAGGGACCAGTCCCCTTCATGTCTTACCCTCTACTTAAGTCCCATTTGGAGACAGCATGCTGCCTGCCTCTCCTCCATCAACAAATAACCCCACAACATTCTGTCTCTCATGCTGCAGATGCTCTGTGGGCAGAGGAAGAAGCACTGGACACCCCCCTCCAGGACTTGCATGTGCTGGGATTGATGGGTTTAATTATTGACAACGAGGCTGGGGAGTTTGGAAAATACCAGCAGCATGATGAGTAATGAGCAACATATTATTACAGCCCCAAGGCTCCTTTTTATATGGCTCCCACCATTCATTGAGATGCATAAAGAAGGCAGATGTAGCAATCCCCTTCCCAGCCATCTTCTAAAATTGCACCCGTTGGTTCTCCTTGAATATTTCTCCCCCACCCCCCTCTGGTCTGAAGTCAAGTAAGGGGTGTATCTGCCTTTGAAGTAAATCTTCTGCCTGATTTGCACTGCCTGATTAGTTTGTAAGAGCGATAAGAAGCTATTCTCTACCGTGCTGTTTAAACATCTGTTCTTCTGATCTCGTCATCGTCATCTGATCCCCGCGCTCGTTTTTTGGTTGTGTGTGCGCGTGCGGGGGAGGTTGTTTCATTGTCTCCAAATCCAAGTTTAAGGACCGATATAGTTGCCTTTGAAGTCAACGGAAAAGCTTCGGTAGGGGACGAGGCCAGGTGGGTGGGTGGGTGGAGGGTCAAACCAACACACTGGCGATCGCAGCTCGGCCAGCCACACCACACCACTGCATCCCTGAATTTTCCGTAGCTTTGGGACAAGTTCCCTACGAAAAGAGCCCGCACCTGCAAAGAGCGCTCCCTCCCTCCCTCTTATTGCAGCGGACGCCAGGGGTCGCGCCTTTCACAACTCTGGAGATTCAGGGCAAGGGGGAAGGAGGGCGAGATCCTTGGGCTTTGGAGAAAGCAAACCACCTTGGGCTGAGCAGACGACGCCCAAACAACGTGCCACCATCACCATCTAACAAATTTACCCTCAGTCCTTTCGAACTAAAGGAGACAACAACATACTGTATCCTCATATGCCAAGAAGAAGAATAAGTCAGGGCGTTGCTTTCCTTTTCCATGAGTAAGTAATATCAGATACTCTCGCGCGCTCTCGGCTGCCTGACATACGAAATGAATGAACATTTCGCATACACTGGCATACACTTAATCGCTCTGCACTCAGTGAGGGGCAGCTATGTGAGACAGCAACCCTATCCTACCCAGTTGAACTTAATGGGGCTGATCTGCGTTGCCGAAGACTCCGATGTAAGCACCGCGGAGGAGAAGCGAAAGTCCAGTCCTCCGCGTTAGATCTGTGGTGCCCCACCGAGACACGCGTGCGGATCACCGCTCCATGACGTGCAAGCCTAAAGTTTGTGCGAAACAGCTCGCCCCACAGCCCCACCTCATATATGAGAGAGAAATCGGGGCTAGTTTGGTCTTGCGGAACGATTTCATTACTTCTCCTGGATAAGTCTATTTCCTGGAGTCCAGCTGTGTAGAAAACCAAATGCCGAAACGTCTTCGGATCAGTCCTTAGTCAGATGCTTATTGTCTGAGAAAGAGAGAAAGAAGGTTCCCCCTTCTACGGAGGAAGCTGCCTTATACTGAACCAGAGCACCGGTCCATCTAGCTTACCACTGTTTGAACGAGGAACCTTCAGCACCTCCTTTTCTGAAAGGTGTGCTGTGCCTTCCAGTACCGTCTCCCCAACTCGACTTGCCCAGTCTGAAACCACGTCCAGATCTCGCAACAGCTCACAGGGCTCAAGGGGCAGCTCTGGAGGAAACGAGCCGCTCCGTAGCCCCGGGGCAACAAGAGGGCGTCTCGTCGTCAGCCTTTCATTCTGGCGAAGCGGACACGAGCGTGCCCGGAGAGATCCCTCGCGAAAGCAATATTTCCAGGGCACTTTCGGTGAATCAGACCTTGTTTTCGAGAAGCCGATGCACAAAGGAAGCTTTCAAGGGATACTTGTGCCAAGGTGGGGAAAGGGAAGGCTGGGCAAAACCTAGGAAATAACCTTGTGTACTTTTGGAGGGGGGGGGCGGAATGAAAACAGGCTGCTGTGTGTGTTGGCCTCTTCCTATCAGGGCAGAGCTGTCAAGCAAGAGGGAAATACACAGCCCCTTTCACCAAGTAGTACAAAGCGCCAAAGGAAGCTCAGAAACATCTCGCCCAGCTCTCTAGGAAGGGCCTTTGGGAGGGGAGGAGGATCCTTATCGAGGTCGACGGAGGAAAGAGATTCCTAGTAGACTTTGCACGAAATGAAGAGACCAAATTTGCACCCGCTCATCTGGGTTTATCTCATTCAACCCCTCCACCCACTCGCCCTGGCCTCTCACTTGAGGCTCATTGACGGGCAAGTCCTACCTAGGTGTTGTCTAACCTGGAAATAATGGCCCCATTCATCACAAACTTCACCAGTGTCTTCTGCGTTATCTGCCCAGGCCAATCTACTGGAATCCAAGGTTCAAACAGTGTCGCTTTGGCCTTCCTTCGGTGGGAGACTCACACACAACCCACAGCCCCAACACGCTTCCAACACACACACACACACTTCCAACGATGTCTCCGAACTCCTCCGAGGACGATGCCCGTGTGAATTAAACAGGGGCACGATCCAGGGGCACTTTTCGATCTTGCACAAACTGGGCTCCTGTCCTGTGCTTTCATCTCGCCTATTGAAATCAATGGGGCTTAAGTCCAACTTAACTCAGATGCAAACATGCAACGTGCTTAACTTTAGCCGACTCCTGCTCGTTAGTAGAACATTGTCACCATTATTTGATGTATAACATTCTCTTTGGTGTTTCTATTTTTCAGATTGGCCCTCTATGCCACCTTCTGATTGTAAAAATGTGATGTTATAATTACCTACAGAGATGCGTACACTGGGTGCTTCTCTCACCCCCAAATTTCAGAGAAATTACAAAGCCGAGCAACCACCAGGAAGAAAGAGAAAAGATGCTTGGGGCCAACGTCACTCTTCCTTTTTTATTAGGTACATCGTAGTAGCACTCATCCAAGACAGTATCAACTTGCCCCCTATCCACTTATGTGGGAGGCAGATCCCATTCAAACCGCCGGGCAAATATCACGAGGCACCCAAAGGAACCTGCGCGACCCTTTGCTGCATTACCGAGGGAGGGACAGCGAGATGCCTCCTCGATCCTGAACCACGTGTGTGTGGAATGCATTGCACAATACATAAGGAAAATAGCTTTAGTTTAATCTTTATGATAGTGTGAATCAGTGATGTGTTTCTAAGCTGGTTGGGGAAAAAGCTACCCAAGAAGGGCGTGATCCTCCTTTGCTCCTCTATGCAAGCTTCGTTTTTTAAAAAACAAAAAACTGCGCAGTGCGATCCTATCCACGTTCCTTGGAGACAAGTCTCCTTGAGTTCCGCAGCCCTGTGCGCGGCATTTAATGGAGAAGAGACCAGCGGCACTTCTTAGCGCTGCGCGGCTAAGGAACAGCGTAGTTCACCGAGGCTGCAAGCGAGCCAATATGCAGAGGGTCGGGTTGCCCGAGACCTGCTGCTGCCGTACCAAAATACCTTTCCCCCCTTCAGCGTGACTCCCCCTGGGACATCCCCGGCACCACGAGAGAAGCGAGAGATCCTCAACAGGTGATCCCCAGCCCCAGCCCCTTCCCAGCCCCGCTTCAGAAGAGACCCAGGAAAAAGGGCGCACTTACTTCCCTGCCGCCGGACTCTGGAAGGGTTCTGCTGGCTGCCGACGTATTCCATCAAGTTCAAAGTGATAAAGACCCAAGAAACCAGTCGCAATTGCATAGTAACCCTGTAAGAAGTTCCCGTCTCTCGTCCTTTTCGGAGGGGAAGGAAGAGGAGGCGGCGGAGTGGGGAGGGAGGAGGGGGGGAGGGCGGCAGAAATACCTGCCTGGGAGGCGAGGGCTCCCGAGCGTCTTCTTGTTTACAAACAAGCGAGCCAACAAATGTCACTGGCGGCGGCGGCGCGCGGGCTCTTAATTATTGCACTTTCAAGTCGCCCCGACGATGGCCTCCCGGCAGCCTCCTCGGAAGGGCGGCGAAAGAGAACGGCGGGAACCCGGGAGCGAGGCGCCTGGTCGATGTCAGGGCAGGTACCATGTTGCGAGGGGGTGGGCGTGGGGGGGGGGAAGAGGGCAATAAGAGGGTTGGGCAAAGGTTGGTCGTGGCGCGGGGCGCTCCCACCCGGCTCCGGCTACAGGTCGGCGCTCCCAGTCAGAAACTCCATGGGCAGGTGTGCCTTCCTCTTGGGCGCTGCTCACCTTCGCTGAGGAACCCCATAGAGAAGGGCAAGGGGGGGCGCGGGGAAGGAGCCCGGGCAGCTGGTGGTGATGGTGGTTGCGGGGCCGGCGAGCCGGTGGCAGCGCTTCTCCCTCTCCCTCCGCGTCAGGGCTGAGCGCGCCCTCCTCGGACCTGGCTGGGAGCTGTCGCCTCAGACGCCTCGAAGCCCAGCAGCATCTTTCTGAGGGAAGGCGTGGGTAGTAGGAGCGCCGCCTCAGCTACACTAGGCGTGAGGCGCCTCAGAGCGCGAGGAGCGTTAGAGAAGCGGCTCCGTTCCCAGCGGGGCGGGGGGCGAACGACAGCAGCAGCAGCAGCCCCCTCAGACCGTCCCTCGCAGCTGGGCGACAGCCGGAGTCGGAGCAAAGCTTCTTTCCGCTGCCTTCGCGGACTCTGCCTGCGAGCGAGAGCGAGAGAGCGCTTCCCACTTACTCCTCCCTCTCCGGGAGTCCAGGGGTATTTTTGAAGCCCGCGTCGAAGTGTGGAAAGCAAAACTCCAATCGGACGCGCAGCCGCCTGGGCGAGGAACTTCCAATCGCTGGCAGGCGGCTTTGGCTCTAGCTGCCGAGGGAGGGACAAGGCGCGCGACGGGAGCGGGGAAACGCGCGCGCGCGTGTGGGGGTGCGAGAGCGCGCCCAGAAGGCTCGCTTCTTGCTGATGCCGGGGCGTCGCTCGCCGTCGCCTTCGCTTCCCACACAATTCGAGGAGCCACACGCTTTTCTCTGTCAGTATCGGGGGTTGGGGGGGGGTTAGTCTGCATGGTGCCTTAGCTTAGCGTGTCCTCATGAAACATTTCTTGGGGCCAACTAACAAGGACAAAGCAGCGAGTGCAGCTAGATTTCAGATTTCACAGAAGTCGGTCAGCCCCCCCCCTTTGATGATTAGAGATAAGAAGCTGCGTTGTACTGAGGGCGCTCCCTCCCAGGCGGTCACTTTTTTGAGGGATTTAATCACATACAGTATAGGCAGATTCATGTTGCACAGTTAGAATCTATAGGGAGGGCTTGCGCAACAAACCTGCCCCCTCCCCCAGATTAGACTTTCTCCAATAAGTGGGAAAAACTGGGTTGGGGAAAGTGTGGGGTAATACCTGCTTTGATGCACTGTCCTCTAGTCTCCCCATTAACAAATTAGAGTGAATGCTCATTAAATATCTTTATTATCTTTATTTATATCCCACCTTTTCCCCCAGACAAAGGACTCAATGTGGCTTACAGATAAGACAAAAACACAGATAAAATAGAAAAGGCTAAAAATATAGAAGAGACAGTCATTAAAAAGTAATTAAACACTAATAGAATCTGTTTATAATAATAGACAATAATAAGATCTATTAAAATTATATAATAATGATAAAAACATCACAGTAGACCTTTCCTTTAAAAGAGTCGGTTCCTAAAGGACTTTTGGAATAAAAAGGTATCCATCTGCTGGCAGAAGGAGAACAAGGAAGAGGCTAGTCAAACTTCTTATCAGGGCGGGGAAGTTCCAAAGTCTAAGAGCAGCCACCAAAAAGGTCCTCTCCATTGTCCGTACCAAGCATGCCTGTGAGAGTGGCAGAACTCAGAGAAGGGTCTCCCATGAAGATCTCAGAGCCCAGACAGGTTCAAATGAGAGAATACAGTCTTTCATCTTGAACCTAAGCCATATAGGGCTTAATAGGTCATAACCAGCACTTTGAATTGTGCCTGGAAACAGATTGGTAGCCAGTGGAGCTGTTGGAACAAAGCCATCATATGCTCCCCATAACTAGCCCTGATCAACTGTCTGGCTGCGGCTCTTTGGGCCAGTTGAAGCTTCTGAGCACTTTTCAAAGGCAGGCCAACATAGAGCGCATTACAGCAATCCAAATGGAATGATTTGTGTCGCTATGGTCAAATCAAACATTTCCAGAAATGGGTGCAGCTGGTGCAGTAGTTTTGAGAAGAGGCAGTTTGAATATTGTTAAATGCAATTGTTGTTTTTATATATGCTTCCTAAACCTTGAGTCCCTGACCCAAGTATAGCGTGGTATATAAATTCAATCAATCAATAACTGTGCAAATGCACTCCTGGCCTCTGCAGAGACTTGGGCATCCAGGCTCAGGACTAAGTCCAGGAGCCAACACCATCTAATATCTTGGCAAACAAGTCAGGATGAATGCTCATTAAACAGGTCATCTGGAAGTGCCCTGAATCAGACTACTGGTCCTCTAGTTTGGTGTTATCTGCATACTGACTGGCAGCAGCACTTCAGGGTTTCAGGTAGGGAGTTGACCCTAGCCTTACCTGGACTTTCCATATGCTGATCATGTGTTCATCTACTAATCCGTCACCAAGTATATTGGTACAGGACCAGGGGGAACTTATGTTTGCAATATGTCACAGCAGGATTTGGGTATCTTTTTCCAACAGAGGATAACTTTTCAAATCCTCCTGGAGGGCCACATGTGACTGGTGAATGGGGCCAGAAGAAAAAAGTGGGCCGTGCAGTGGCTGTGAGGCTAAATTCCAGCTGCGCAAAAGACAGAGATTTCTACACAGGCACTCATTGCTCTCCATCCTGGCATGTGAAAGGCATTGTCACAGGTCAAGGAAACATTCCAAGCCAGGCTACTTAGGTTTGGTTGTACCTAGTGCAAAAGGATTTCAGGTTGCACCGGAACAAAGTATGAGAAAGAGGCAATGGCCACCTTTCCTCTGAAAGTATAAAAACAATACAATTATTCAAACGTGAATGAAGTGCTAATCAAAACTTATGGTTATGAGGGAAGAGGGTTTAAAAATGCAGTAGTCCTTCCAGGAGTTCAGTGCTACAGCTTCCTGATCATCATCTTAAAACTATAACAGATTGCATACGTACAGGGCTTCCAGCACACCGTGCGCTATCATTTCTCTTCTCTGTATTTTTCTCTTTTAAAATTGTGTGTGAGAAAGTGTACCGTGAAACTTAAAAAAAAGAGCGTACTGCTGTGTGATATCAGAGGGTTCTAGAACAGTATTGTGGCACCGTTCCTGATTGAAAAGTATCATTCAGATCTTCCCCCACCCTATACACTTTTTGTGTTATTAACTGTTATGTTTGCACTACTGACAAAAAGACTGTCAACCTAAATATCCTGCGGTCTCCTACTGAGGTTTTCATTGCAGGAATTTCTAAAACCACACACACACACACACACACACACACACACACACACACGTATAGTGTTTTCAAGTGTACAAAATAATTCATAATTCCTTACAGGAGCCCCGCATTGGAGACTGGACTGAAAGACAGTGACTTCACCATGAGATTAGAGTTTGAACTTGGGTTTCAACACACTGCACCCCTTAAAAATAAAATCTACTATACGGTACTCCACCGCACACAACATAGCATGCAAAGTCTTCTATGAAGCTGATGGACTTTGATCATTAATTATGGCTTAAGCAACTTACTCAGAAGTAGTACTGCTGAAATCAAATGAAAGGTTTGGAATATATGGTGTTCTGAGCACAGTCTTAGCAACCTGATCCTATGTATATTTACTTACAAGCAAGACCCACAGAGTTCACTGGGACTTGTTCCCTTTCCCAAATAAATGTATGCAGAATGTTCCCATGTAAATGTGCTCAGTATGTAAGAAATTCCAATGTAAACGTGCACACATCTTTTAATGGCATTAAGGCACAAATGCACAGGCTATGTTGCAGTGCCTTGGCAGTCAACTGCACCGTCAAAAAATGTGTTTAGTTAGCCCCCATCTAATTCATTTCATTTCCAAGAATACTGAATTTCAAATTTCAAATTATCATACTCCTTGTCTGTTTTATCTTTTTCCTACAGAATTTCCAGTGATTTTATTACCGTACCCGATACACTGAAACATTGTTTTCCTAGTAAAAAGAAAAGAAAAGAAATGCAGGTCCTTGTGAGTCAGAAACAGTGCCAGAAATCTGGGAGAGAGTTTCTGCCCATTAAAAATTCATGCCATCACTGAGATTCAGTCTTGTAAAACACAACAGGATCAGAACAGTCAGCAGGCAATTGCTTTGCAAATAATTGATATTTGCATTTCTTCAGCCTAAAGACTACCCAAATGCACACATACCTTAATCCCAAACATATTTATTTAGAAGTCATGCTGATTTTCACCTCTTTTTTTATGCAGAAGACTGTCATTTATACAGGAATGTTTTTGTAAGAAAATGGAATTGTGGGAGGGAGACATTATCTACTTTCTCTTACCTATTATCAACATACAGCTACTTTTTAAGAGAAGGAAAATACCTACAACCACTTGTATTGTAGCAGAAATCATAAAGCAGGCTTCCTTTGAAAAATACTTCTTCGGAGTAGTTTTCCCCTTCTCACGGCATTGTTAAATATCTGAATCAGAAAATATGGGGGATTTAAAGATCTATGGGAGGTTCCCTTTGAAAAGGGATCCAGGGAAAATCTTTTAAATCCAGGATACTTGAGCTAGATGAGATGAAAACTGCCCCACAGACATAAAAATTCAGCCTTCAACTTCAGAAATACACCCATATACAGACAGAGTCTGCAT